ATTACGATCGCCTATATCATGCGACACCTTGGTCGTTCGCTTGTCTCTTCCTATTTATTTGTTCGTGCCAGACGCCTTAATGTCATCATTCAACCGAACCTCAAGTTCATGTACGAACTCTTACAATACGAACAGAAATTAACGGGTAGAATGAGTATTAATTGGTCATGGTTAACCAAGGAGATCCACGCTTTGAACATGTTTTATGTCGGTTCTTAGATTAATCGAGAGTCCAGATTTTTCTTGATATTTATTTTCACAATTAGTTTCTTTTGGAAAAAAAAAAAAAAAAAACAAATAAATTGTGTAGGAACGGCTTCCGAGGTCATGGTTGTTAAAAATAGACAATAAGACGTTTGAGCGGTCTTGTTCATATGTAACTCCTTTGACAAATCAAATGCATATACAGCATATACTGTATGTACTGTATATTCGCATATACATGTATATGTTTGGACGCGTTTGACACGTACTCTATAGCCTGCATAAGTTATCCTTTTTAGCTATCCTTTTTAGCTTTAATTGCATATAATGCATTTACCCTTAAGTAGTCATGATTCCCTCTAAGGTGAAGCTATAATATGTATTAATAAGGTCTACGCGATTTATCCGGTTAATAAAATAATAATTTATGATAATAACCACGTTGCCGAGTATTAGGCAAAACTAGTTTTATTAATGATAATACGTATTTAGATGTACTATTGGAATGTCAAATGTTACTGTATATAACTAATTTAATAATAAACTAATATAATAATAGTACTAAGGTTACCAATATCGACATGACAAAATTTTATTTACCATTTTAAATATACATTACTAATACTTGATTATTTGTAAAAAAATTAAAATAAAAATTTCATTATGTGTAAATTATAATAAGATGTTTCTTTATTAAAGAATATAAATAAATAAGATATATACATATTACTATATATAGATATACTGTATATCATTTCATTTAATTGTGTTGGCACTATATATTTGCTAAATATTAAACAAACATGAACTAAAGAGATATTAGAATTATTTGTGCAAGTCTACTAAAACAAACTTAATCTCAAATCTCAAATCAAAAAATCTTGCAAAAATAAACTTCTTCTTGTAGAAAATTATTACAATATTTAATCAAAAAGTTTAAAATAATTTTATTTAAAAAACAAGTTTTATATTAAATATTTTAATACAATTAAATTATACAATTTATATCTTTATTCCAATAAACTTTAAATTCAATTTTTTATAATAAAAAATAAATTATATATAGAGTATAATTTTAAACAAATTTTACTTATAAAATTGATTTTAATATTATTAAATTTAAAAAAATAAAGATCTGAACTATTCAAATATATTATTTTTTCAAAGATTCAAGATAAAAAAATATAAGAATATTTGATTATTCTATTAATTTCTATAAGGTAATTTAATTAACTTTAAAAATATTTTGAAAACTATAAATTTATAACAAATATTTTTATATTATATTATAATTTAATTTAATGAAATTTTATAAAATATTAAAAAAAATTGTAATTATAACTTTTTTTAAAAATTTTTTTGCTTTTTTAAAAATATTTAAATAAAATAAGAAAATTATAACAAATTTAATATGTTAATTATAGATTTTTTTTTTCCAATAAATAAATATTATTTTTTTATTTTTTTTATTATACTATAAAGTTATATATATGAAGAAAGAAACAATATCTTTTAAGAATAAATTCAGTATTTAAATATTAAGTTTTATAAAAAAAACTCTTTCCACTGATTCTTTTGCCAACACAAAAAAACAGACGTTCCAAGAAAATTTTATATTTCCTTGTAATAAAGTCTATATACTTTCATTAACAATACTCATACCAAGAGACAATAGTCTCTCCCACTTGTTTCTTTCTCTCTTTGACATAAACTTCCTATATTTCTGCAAGTAAATACAAGAAATACCTACCTACAAAGTTAAAGGCAAGAAAACTTTGCTAGGAAAAAGAACCTG